CCTGGAAGTTGTCTCCGTCTACTTGACTAGTCATGCCTGCACAAATCTTTGATGGAAATTTTGTTATTTTCACCTTTTAGGAGGGCTCCCACATTATTTCATTCCAAACAATTGCCTCCACTTTAAATTCATGTAGAAGTTGTACCTCACTTTTACTTGCGCATTTCAGAAGCTGTTTTCAAAGTTATCTCAAGCAAAACTGTGTTGTGTATCTGTGGGAATTCTCCATGCCCGGGTAAGGATCCTTTTTCGACTGTTATGACTAATATAACTATTGATTTCCCTTACTTGACTTTTGCAGATTTGTAACTTCTGTGTAATGTCTTTGCTTAGGATTTCGGTACCGCGCCTTCGTCGACGGGTAGCTTATCCACTTGTATTCATTTTCTGCTCTATCGCATTCATTTTATTCAACACATCAAGAATCGCAGTCATTGATGAATTCTTTGAGAGAAGGAATTTCATTTCTCTTACCGCTGGTCAAAATCGCAAAAAGGTTCGGCTTCTTTTCTCAAAATGGTACAGGTTGCTCGGTTTATACGTTCTCAGCTGTGGCAACGGCTCTAACTTGACATTTGGTCTTGCGAAATCTACTAATCCAATGGAATTATAACAAGTGACCTTTGTTACTGAAGAATGCCTGTATTATTCATGGTTTTTTTCCGTTGATGTCGGCTTTGAAAGCGTTTGCTAATTGGGTTGTCATAAAATATTGCGTAGTTAGTGGTGTTGGTTTAGATGTTGCGCTTTCTCATCTACCAATTTTGAGTACGACAGAGTAACTATTTATCGTATTAATCGCTCACATTTTTTACCTCTTTCATGTTAATGTGTGATTTTCCAAGTATCTTTAGTTTAGGCTATATTCCTCTCATTCTTTCTAAAATCTTATAAAATTTACAGGAGAAGCCTGATAGAGTTTTCAATCAAATCTTGGTATTTTAATCTTTCGTGGTTTAGCATAAATTTTGTTGATTTCACTATCCTTCTTAAGAGATAAGCTGAACCCGAAGCTATTTCATAGTTACGTACGCCGCTTGCTTCTGAATATCTTTCAATTCCTAATTTTGATGTAGCGGGAAGCACCAACTAGATGCTTGATTTGGGTATTTGTGCTACATTTTATTTTAGTTTTGGAGCTTCTGGAATTCTGACCCGATCGAAAACGACACCGATTTGATATTTCCTACAAAGGCACCTATCGCTGTTAGTCTGTACAACTCTTCCGGCTCCGCGTGGACGTCTACGGACGCCAAGATCGCTGAAAACCTTCGCTTAATTAGAAATCACATTCGTGGTATCAATGAAGACCAATACATTCGCAACGTAGATATTTTTGGCGAAGATTCTCCTCTCTTTATAATAATTGTCCAGGTAAATAGGCTGCACTCTTATGCTAGTGAACTAGCTAATGAGAATGAAAATTTGGCCTTTTCTTCACATTGAAGCAATACCTTTCTGTTTCAGCCAACTGTTTATGTTACCTTTATCACTTTTGAAATCAACAGGCTTGAAAATAATAAAATGGCATTGGCAGAACCAGATTTATCGACAACAATTTGTCAGCTCTCGAATCGTGTTATTTACTAATAATAGTGAAAATCTGCATATGTAAACTCTAATGCAATTTTCTTTAGGTTCATCAACGTTACACCCATCTCCTGTATTTGATTGAATCACTCAGGAGGGTGCATGGAATTGAAGAAGCACTTGTTGTGTTCAGTCATGATTTTTTTTCGGCGGAAATTAATCACGTGATTAATTCCATTCGATTTGTTCGTTTCACACAGATATTCTTTCCATACAGTCGCCAAATTTTTCCCGATTCCTTCCCTGGTCCTGATCCAAGAGACTGCCACACTCGTGGGTACGCTGCCGATATCTGTTTTAACGCCGTATGATCATAATCCATCTTTTCTATCTACAGTAACTCTAGAGATTTTTTAAATTAGAATCGTTTGCATGTCTGTTAGATTGAATTTTCAAAAAGTATGAAGTAGCAGAACCTTGTTGATGGCTTTTTATTCACTCATTGACTGTCCTTTTTCTATAAGCGTCTGATGTTGGTGGTTTGATTAGTTTTGAATTTAATTTGTAATGATTGTGCGCTGAGACAACTGTTACCGTTCTATCCTAAATTGGACACCTGTACGGTAAATTGCTTCAGTCATTGGTAAGTTATCGGCTCGCAAACTCACTTTTGCTAAACCTGACCGTAGTATCGCACATATATCTGAATTCATTTACTTATTGGCATGCAAAAGTGTTAGGCAAAACCATTGACACATTGTTGTTGCCAAATTAGTAGGCAAAGCAGGAATTCTTTGATAGTAGATGAGAAATCATCTTTTTACCATGGACATATTTTGTGGTAATGTTGATTTAGCCATCTCCCTCAGTCTGCATTTCTACAAACCAATTGTCACCTTGCCGTTATGCAGCCACACCTAATCACTATTTCACGCAAAATACTATTGGTTGGGTTTTTTTCACATTTGATCGTCCCGAAATTTAGATGGCATAAACTGTCTCTGCACTTTCTTACCCTTTATTTTCATCATAAAATGACGACCTTTCAAATGTGCATTCTGAAAGTCTTATCTGCCTGTCGCATTTTATGAAGTTAACCGCCTTGCAAATTTCAAAGCATGTCATACACCTCTGTTTTGAGGCTGTCTGAAGTTCAGTCTATTCTGGACCAAAACTATTAAAAGATCCCCGGTTCCTTTTTTTCTCCAAAGTGATTTGAACTATTGCTTGCCCTTTGCTAATCGCAGACAAGTGATTAGTTCAAATAATGCCTATTGAACTTAGTTATTTCTGATGTTAGGCTTATGCTCCAAATCATAAAATATTTGATAGCTCTATCACATGAACCCATTCAGATGGTACTAGATTTGGAATAGCAGATTAGGGTAGGTTCACTGCCCCCTTCCTTTTTTTCACGCGGGTAGTAGCACACGCTTAGCAACGTTAAGGTGTTCAACTCATTTGTTTACTTTACTCTGTCATCTCATTGCTAAGATAGTATTTCTGGCCAACTCTATGATAAGCTCTTATTTTAATAATTTTGCGAAACGCGACGTTTAATGTTGCTGGCATCTGAATGCCTGACAATTTACCATCTATTACTGAAATATTCAATTTCTCGTCTTGTAAATGGTTCTCTAGTTCACATTTGTGCACGATAACAAGGTGTCATCAATTTTTCCCATTTTTTGCGCATACTACCTAAACATTCAAGTGTTCATGATCGTTTTTGTCAAGACCTGATTGAAATGCGTACAACGTTTTCATTGGAACAAAGTGCGTCGAACATTGTGTTGATATCTTTGTCAACATTACTGCTACTGAAATTGCTTCAAATAGCAGTTTAATTGACTGCACGAGCATTGCACATCAGCACCACTGGTCACTTCTGCTTAAGCTTCACGGGACTCACTTGTGGGCCTATTTAATGATGAAATTTAATCCACTTTTCTCTTTCCTTAGAAAATTACTTCATGTACTTGTTTTTGTTCAAAAACTAGGGTCAATTTTAACTTTGCTATCGAATTAAGCAGGCGAGTAGGAGTGGGATGGAACGCTAGCTCTTGATTAAGGGGGAATTTGTGTTTTAGAGCCAAAAACTGCCTGAATCATGAGTGGCCAGATGTTGCGGGTAACTATCGCGACAGTCGTTTTACTCAAGTGAAACATCACTGGATCTGGAAGGTAAATTGCCTTAACTTATATTCCAAGTTATTTGAATCGCTTCTACCTATTGAACGATTTGTCAGCTGACATTTGAAATTTAGTACTTGTTCAATGCTTTAAAATCACGGTGACTTTTTTTAATGGAGAAAGTGAGAATATAATGTCAATAGCGATGTGGAATATGGTAAGATATATTTGCTGTCATGGTGGACAAAACACTGCTTTGAGGCTCTCTTTGGCGGATCAAGCGTTGGCATGAATACGTGTTCTATTGCTGGAGGCACTGAGGATATGAATAGGCGCGTGTGACCGAATGCCACTTAGTTTTTAGTTGGAATAGCTGCAATCACTGCTCCCGTGCACGATTGCCGTTAATCCTCCTTGAATATTCTAAACGTTGGATTACAGGGGAACGCACGGGTGTTTATGCCGACGCTTAATTGGCGAAACCACATCCAAACGGTACATTGCAGTATTGCATCAAAAAACATTCAGTGGATTTACACATTGCGATTTTGACCGACCACATTTACTACATTACATGGACTTAGAGTGGTCCGTTATCTGATGTAAAAAATGCCGACTGTTGATTCCTTCTTACATCTTTGGTCTAGCTTTGTTTCGTAATTACCAAAATGAACGTGTCTAAAACTTTCAATGGTCAGTACATCTTACTGGAGGAGGACTATATGGTTCTTAAGGATCTTCTTCATGTCCTTAAGCTAACCAAGAAATTAAACAAAACGTGAGTCTCATATATTTTCCCTTTCTAGCCGAATTTTAAACTTATGCGAACTCATATGACTAAACATGTGCTATTTCTTACGACTCTTAAATATAGCGCCAGTAAGTTCTGAAAATTGACAGGAGCTATGCTTAAGTAATAATGGATTAATATCAATGTACTCATACTAGTCGTGTGTTATTTGTTCTTTCCAAGTTTGTGCATGGCATTTTCGACTGATTAACCTTCTGTTGAGACTCAACTTGCAATAGTGTTCTTAAGAGTACCAAGAGATAGCCTGAATCGCATGAAATCTTCCTTTCAGTTACGATATCGTCGTCCTGGGTTCATATGAAAATTCGCAAACTTACAATTCACCCGAACTTGTGGGTTTGTTAACTGTTTGCAATGCATGAACAGCAAAAAATTGTCAAAACAAGGAAATGCTGTTGCATACGAATCAATTTAGTTCTCTTAAATAACAACTCATAGTTTTATTAACCATGCACATAAAATTGTCACTGCCTGGTGCTATGATGTGCAACGCCGCGTGGGTCCAATCTTATCCGCTTTTATGTGTTCATTTTTGCACTCCGAGGTGCCATCGAAAACATTATCGTATTATATGCGCAGCTCCACTTCAAGGTATCTCTTTTATAGTTTCTTTCACACAAAGTATTGATTGAGCGGTTTTTCCGATCTTTTCTCGAATAGGTCTTTGAAACTTATTGGATCTCCTCCAAGCACAATATGGGAATGGCATTCACAAAAAATCTGTTTGAAAAATTGGCACCATACTGGAAAGTACGTTACCTTGCTGACAGTGTGGTTTTTCCCTCAATTCAATATATGAGCCGAATTTCTACTTTTTGTAATGCTTGCATATTACCAACTTCAAAAGTACATTCGTTATTAAACGAAACCTATCTTTCATGGTGGAATTGTCCTCCACTGTTTATTCTAAAAGCCCTACACATTTTTGCCACTCCTTACCTACTGGTGTGATTCCTTGGAAACTTCGAAGCGCCTTTTTGATGAAAACTTGATGTTATTTCAAAACGTTTTTTTGCATTGGCTGAACAGCAATGGCTGGACAATGCACTACTTTTTACCTTAAGAATTTTTGCATTTACGATGATTACAACTGGGACTGGAGCCTTTACTTCATCGATCGTGTCTGTGCGAACGAAAAGTTTCGTGTCCTGCACTTTAAGAATTGCGGCCGAGTCTTCCATACTGGTTCTTGGTATGTTCTTATTTGAAGATCCGCTATACGATTAGAGCTTATGATCGAAAGAACATCGAGGGTGCTACTCACCCCAACGTGTTCTGAATGATGTGATGATGAGTTTGATCCTTTATAGATGAGATGAACTGATCGAAACCTGTTTCCTATTTGACGGAGTGCTTGATGAAGAGTAAGGCACACTCGTTCCGTTACGTTTGCTCTCGTTGTTACAAAACAAGGAACTTGAAATTATGGCAGTGGCGTGAAGGCATATAGCTACCTACAAGTTATGTCCTGTGTAGTTTAGCTTGTAACTTTTCCGAGCCGCAGTTTTACACGGAGTCGTAAGATCACAGTAACCGTGATTGTACGGTTGATCCAGGTAAATGGGGCATTTTTTAAACTGTCAACGAAAGTTTGGAATTTCGGCACAGAAGGCGTTTTGATAGGAGTTTTTGATTAACACAAGAAACTTTACTGTTTGCGAAACACTTTCATGAAAGTGAGAAGTAGATTCGAAGGAAATGCAACGATTTGGGTAAGAGTGGAAACTAAGTTTGGTTGTTTCTCCTGATGCAAACAGTGGACTGCATGCCAACGGCAGCGAATGTGGTAATGTGGAAGCGTCAGTTACGCGGATAATGGATCGGATAGCTAGAGGTGGCGGCAGCGATGGAGTTCTCTTTCCTTCAGCACTGCTAGTGGCGGTGGATTCAGTTCAACGGCCGCTAGTGTTACCCAACGGGGGTTGGGGTGATGCGCGCGACCGCGCCCTTTGCCTCGCCATCGTGAATAATCGCTGGTTTCCTCTCGCCCACCTTCTGTCCGACAACATCGGTCGGCGTCGTCTCGATGTCTTTGAACCCCTTATCCCTGGTGTCTCAAACACGACCTCGTCCGTTCTTTAGCACTTTTTTCCCTCCGTTCATGCTCCGCTCAACGTCCAAGCCTGTCTCTGCAGTTTACCTTCCTTTTTTGTGTAGTACGCGTACTCTTGCAATGTTTTTTTTCTTCCAGTTTCTTCACTTCAATTTTTGTTTTTTTACATTATGTTTATATGGTTGTCTTTTGCAGCTCTGCTGTTTCACTGATCTTGTTTCTGTCATCACAAAGTGTGGGTGCGTGGATACCAATTGTAATGTGCTACTGCCAATTTATAGTAGACCGAATTTGTAACCGTTGACTTTCAAATGGAATTTGCGGAATCTTACGTAGGTTTGATTTTACATTTTCGATAAAAATTGGTTCTATGTATTGTTTTAGTGCATTTTAGTGCTTTATGCTAGAACGATAAATATAAGTGCTAATGTTTAGATATTGGAGGTAGGAATTGCTTGGGAATGGTTTCACCGTTGTAACATCCATTGGCTCTCTCGTATCATTACCCAATTGTGCTAATGCATAGTGTCAACGCTTACCCATTCGGTAATGTTTAACATCCTTGGTGGGCAGGTGTGAGGATTTTAATTGACGGGGGATCGTATAGTCGTCCTAGCGGTCAAGGACGTGTTCGTTTTCACCTATTGTTAAGAAAAGTAACTGATATTCAAATCCACAAAGTTCAACTATTCTTCGAGATGCTGCGTAAAAGATAGCACAGGGTTACGATACAAACCTTATCAATCTGGGTCTGTCAAAAGCAATTAACTTCAGCACTCGTGCGCAATAGATGAACAAGTAGGCAAGCAGGAAGATGGAGCCCTGTTCACTTGAGTCTTATGCTGCTCCGAGTAGCATGCAAAGACTGTGGAAACGAAGGCAGTTTTTGGTTCGACATCTACCACATGCTGCTCAAGTATGACGCTTTCATATCCCGTTGCTTTGCTACGCTCAAATACCTAAGCCGCGTGTCAGACGCTTTCCAATTCACTAGGGGTGATCTTGATAGGTGGAAGATAGCGTTTATTTAAAATAGAACAGAAATAAGTAAACGTGTGTAGGAAGGTATTGCGTCCACTTCCTAGAATTCATCGCGAATTTTGTCCATTGCAAAGGCTTGGTCTTGTCCTATTAAAAGCGCATCAAAACTGCAGTCAAAGTCAATGAATATACCATAGGAACCAGCTGTTTCAGGCATGCTTTGTAGCAAATGCGGCCTCTTCCACTTACTTCCGGTGGGATTTTGTTTGGACCAATCGCTGTAGATATTTCTAAAAATGTAAAGCTTTACAGAGTATCTTTAATGGAATGAGTTACTTTTATGACTAGACAGAAACATATACGAATGAACTGCATCATTATGCTGTGAGGCTCGGTTCACGCTACGCATGAAGTAAGCCACAATACGCCAACTATAGCCCCCCAGAGTTCAACTCAAAAGGGGCTTCAAAGGGACGAGTGGGGAAAGATGCTAGAATTCCAAGGTGTGTAATGTTAGTTTGACCAGATGTAGGCGAAATGCAGTTTGGGTTTTATCCTAAGTTTACAAATACATGCTTGAGAATAAATTGATGGAAGACTTTACACTTTGTTATGCCTTGGTTACAATATATATTTCACATCAATTGCATTTTTAATAAGCTTGATGTGATTTTATAGGGTACGTGATTAAGCTTATGCGACCGGTCCCTTTCTCGATTTATCAGGGCCAGGAACTCGCGGTCACGACCGGTCCTGAGGTATCGTTAACTGAAAGGTCAAATGCTGTTCCATATGACTTAGGAGCAGTCCGCGATTTGCTGGTAGCTGGCTCTGCTAGAAACGTAACTCCGCTGCTCACACTGGCTAAGCAGCTTCGAAATTGCGGCGTCCTTTATTTGCCTAATGTTAGATTGACGTTCTGTTCTCAATGCCTTCGCTGAAATAAGCTAAATATCGCTTTGAAAATAGGATCGTATATAGAAACAACGATTGTAAACTGCATATCAATGGTACGCTTGTAGTCAATTCATTTGTCATATCGTTAAGTGGTCTCAGTCTGAAAACGATGAATATTTCATGACTAGCACCAAGAAGCTTGTTGGTCAGAAAAGGTGGAACCTGAGGGGGCAGTCCATTCGCGTTATTAGATGGGTTGGCTATATAATTTCTACCGCCTGTCGACAGCTGCCATAAATATGCGTAAGATTGGTGTCCAATGCTGTCACTCACCTTAAAGTATAGGTGAAGATGCTGAAGAGTGGCGTTTCAAATCTCATAGGGAAAATAACTATTCAAGCGTTTCTCAAAGGCTTTGAGAGGCGTCCTGTCTTGTTTGGAGGTGTGGCGAGAAATGCGAACAAAAAGTACAATTATGTTTGAAAGAAACGAAAGTAAACAGTCTGGTATAGTTCAGTTAACGACCTTAAGTAGGTAATTAAGACTTAGGACTGCAGCATTCTGAGAGTTCTTCGGCCATAAAAGAAGGCATGGCACTTGAGTATAATGCACACTATCAGGGAAAGGGAAGTAGACTGCGGTCTTTCGACCAAGGCCATAGGGGGATCCAAGTGACCACAAGTGTAACATCTTAAAGTGCGCCCCTTTTCTTTTAAAATTGAAGGGTTAGGAAGTTAAATCCCCCTCCAAAAAAATGATACTTACCACACTAACACGGAACTTCTAAATCCATCGAAGTTTTATGGCAGAAAACGGAATTGGCTCGTGTTAAGTGAACGAAAGTGTTGCATCGGACGCGAAGTTAATCCGCCTATCTAATATCTGAAAGCATTCAAGCAGATATGTCTTGCATGCTTGTGCATATAGGATTGAGCTTATGTAGCTCATGGACATCACGAGAAGCCAGTGAAACGCTGTTGACGCAGAACTCTATAGTCGCTTCTGAAGGCTTAATGACTGGTTCGGAACAAATTTGCCTGAAACATTCCAAGAGCATCCCTGTCCCTTGACCATCTCACTAAAAGGCGATCAGGTTGAGCTAAGACCAATGACAGTTTTGCATGTATTTGGAACCGTTTGTCACTTTGACAAAGAAGCCTCATTACCATCCAAACGACTTTTGAAGAGGCAAAACGGACCACTAGATATGGTACATTACCAATCGCTTTGTGACGTTATTATATTTCGTACAGGAAGCAGGTACAGTCGGAAGCCTTGCGCATTCGTCGGTCGGTGGAGGGAGTAGTGAGTCACTGGGCTTTGCGACAAAGCCTTTAAGTAGCACGCACGGCCAACAGTACACATCACTTTCTTTACTCAAGCAAACAAATTCTATATTCGCTCAAACCAAAGTAATGACAAAACCTTGTCAAAGAGGTCTAAAAAATGTGTTCAACTTGCCTTTAGCCAACGCAGAGAGATTCATTTCAAGTGAACAAGAAGTATTAAGGTAAGTTTCATTTGGATTTCAGCATCACCTGTCTACTGTATAGTGGATAAACAGGATATGGCCGGCTGAAGGCTGGAAAGCATCTTTTTCAACGCGTAATGGCCACGCCCATGTCATCCATGTATTAAGACTGAAGCTAACTGCAATTTTAGGGGTGTTACAATTCTGTAGGCTGAGAGATTTATTCCTCAAATTGTAGGCACTTAAGGGAGAAATAGCTTCTTTAAAAAGGATGAAAAAATTATATTTTTGCTACCTACTTGTTTTTTCTTTAGCATTGAATTATGCCTATCAAACAATGAACTAATGCAACTCAGCAATTTCCACTAAGGTCTTGAACTAAGCGAGCTGAACAAACTTTGTTATCCCTTCTCAATGTGGGAATCGTGAGATATCCCCATGCAAAATTTGTTTGGTCACTTATAGAGGATTCGCGTTGAGTCATTCAGTGTGGAGTGCAAAGCAAACAGACCTACGATGGTCTTCTCTCGATATAGCGATGCTTGTCATAAAAGTGTGGAGGAAACCGTTTGGTAATAACCATTGCGATGAGTGCCTCAAAAGTATTGCAACAGAAAGACGATCTCCCCTTTCATCTGTTAATGAACAGTCCAAAGTGCTTATTACGCACCATAGAAGAATCAAAAAAACTATTTTTAAATCTTTAAGCTGTATCTGTATTTATGACTATGGAAAATCCTTGCACCGGCTTATCACAATCCTTCCTGCCATCTAACAAAACAAAAAAAATTACATTTGCTGTTCACGCTATAAGTTGTTCCCAAGACGTTGACCCAAGATTGTGCGTACGATTTGCCATCAAATCTTTGTGGGAAGTTGCACTATTTAAGCGAAAAATTCTGTAGTCTTGGAAGCCCAATAAAGCCCCTCCTTAAAGTTCACAGCAGTAAGATGGCAAAAAATTCTCGCAAAGAATGCTATCAGTGTGGATGGACGCGCACGCTTGCTTTATGAACCAGCTAAACAAAGTCGTTCAGCATTTGCTTTTCTCGAAATAGTCTATAACAGCACAAATAGCAGTGCAGACGAGACGCAGCGAATAGCATTTTCCTGTAATTATCTGCCCCATGCTCCTACTTTGAGCGAGAGCAAGAGTCAAAGACGATTATACTTTTAGCTGTTAGCTACAGGACTAATCATTTGCTGACACTTAAAAAATGGCTGTTGATACGATAAATGAAAGTGTCTCATGCTTTAGTGCTCGCAGGTCTGAACCCTTATCCGCAATTTTTGACTAGATGAAATTGGGCACATTTTTGTTGACATTCTGATGTAAACAAAGCCTCCAATTCAAAATATCAGTGATTTAATTACTGGCAGTTCATACACTTTCCTAAGTTTGATCTCCGAATGGCAGCGTTTATAGTAATTTCGACTTCGAAATTGTATTAGCCTAAAATGACATGTGCATGGCAGCAATGTTTACGCCGAGGGAGTGAGTGAAAGGGGGAGACAAGCTAAACTGAGTCGAGTGGTAGACTGGACTCCAAAGTAGGACGAAACAAATAAAAATAGTAACGAAGGGTAAACCAGATGAGGCCATTTCATTTGAGTTTAAGTAAGGGGCGTGTTTTAAGGTAGTCACGGTGAGAAACGGTGATGTTACTAGCGAAGTTGTGT